TGGGCTTCTTTTGGGGCTTCTTTCGAGGGGGGGGCACCTCCGACTTCACCAGAGACTTCAGGCTCCTCGTGGTGAGACTCCACAAACTCCACGGGACAGCCTCGCAAGCGCTTGGGGCCAATGGATCACCTGCGTCATCAACAAGCCGCAAGCCATGAACCACCACCCTCCCACCAACTAACATGGGTTTGTGCAAAAAGGCCAAGTAGCCAACAGGAAAGTCGTCTTTCTACAGGGGTCCGAAGCCACTTCCATGTTGGGGCTAACCAAGTAGAAGGGGTTTGGGGTACTTTAAATCCATTAGTTTCCTGATTACACGGAAAGACAATGGTAGTAATCGTTTAGCCCCTGATGTTTATAATTGAGTCAAAATCAAAACCCGAAACCCACTTCAGTGTCGACTGACATATATTGACAACATCCGACATCCCGACCGCGAAACCGGGTGTCAAACCCAATTGAGTCACAATCAAGCCTTGGTGTTAAAATGGTCTACCCAAAACCAGCTTCAAGAATTGAAAAGGCTGCGGAGTCACTCATTGATGGTTGGGATTCTCCCCAAACCTTCATCTACCCGAGTTTCTATTGTGGCTCACTTGCTTTGCACCGTTTAACTGGGACTCTTAACATATACACCTCAAATTCGCCTGGTACATGTAGAAACCCGTTGAAACAGCTGGTGGCTCATATCTTGAACCATGTATCTCAGGAACCCTCTGAATTGTGTGGCCCTTGTTCCAGGCGGCTTGACACGGGGGAATGGGATGCCAACTTCTTCTTTTTTTTGGGGGGGGGGGCCAATTCAGAAACCTCTCCGTAGGCTCAGTTTTGTATCTGCTTGAGCTTGGTCAAAAAACAAGAGAAAAAGGGCACCTGGCTTGAGAGCTGATTTCAAAGGCAGAAAAAAAGCGCCAACGGAAGTGCGGGAAAGTTGAACTCTCCATTACCGCCTGCCTCGAAAAGGAACAAACCGCTCCAGCCCTGTTGGCACCACTGTGCATGCGCGAAAAATGGTTCGCGCCACTTGCAAAGCATGGTTGCAACCAGAGCGTTGGCTGGTATTTACCTTGGGGAGTCGAATCGTTCAGGGTCGCTATGGCGCGATGTCCGGATTTCGCAACCATCAACCAGGTCCTCCAGTAGAGAGGTTAGAATAAGTTGGTGCCAACCTTTTTCCGTAGTCTATTTTAGTAGGGGAGCCCTCCCAACCAGAAAAGACGGTAAAAGGGCACTACTGATGAGGGTCACAAGCACAGTTTTGCTTTTGTTACTTTTGTTAAGAAGGCTTACTTTTCTGAAGGTTAGAAGAGCTTAGTCTTGCAATGCTTGCATTGCATAGATAAGCGACAATAGAATTAGCATGTTCTAATCAAGAGATCAGAACCTTAATCTTGAGGTCTTGTGTCTATTTTGTGCGTGCTCTTTCAATAAGCTTATTCATTGCTGGCTTTTTGTCAGGAGATTTGTCTAGGTCCTCTTCCAATGCTTTTTAACATAACTATTGCAGGCCAATTGTTTACTTTTCCCAAGCTCACATTACTTGGTGTGAGTGAATCTCACACCAACATACGTTTGTGAATTGAGCTTCTGCGCTGCTTGGCTGAATCTGAATCTAATTCCCACGGCATTCGTTTGGTAAAAAGGGCCTGGTCCTTGTGAGCAAGCGTAGCTTGCGAAACATAGACGGGCGATGGTACCAACTTGCTTCTGTAGTCTATCTTAGGGGCACCCTCCCAACCGGAAAAGACGGGGTAAAAAGGGGCACCAATTGCTGGGCAACCCAGCAATACCATCGAGCCCAGCTTTTTCCATTGGAACCCCCAGACATCAGCTTCACGCTATGGTTTGGCGCCTGGCTTGGAGAAGGGGTGAGAGAAGGGCACTGGAAAACCTCGTCAGCGCAAGTTCGCAAGCTCAAGGCGAGTGGCACCAGGTTGGGGCCATGCGGGAGCACTGCGAAGCCTCGCACCTGGGCCTCGGTTTTGCGTCGAAGTGGTGACCCAGGGTCCACAAAAAAGGCGCAAACCGCCCCCACCGAATTGGTAAACTGGCGTGGTGGGAGTTTGCTTCTTCTTTCTTTCTTTTCTCTTTGATTTTTTAGGGGTGGGGGTCCGGAAATCAGGGATTCAAATCCCCAATCCAACCACAGATTGAGGGTTACCTGACTGGCGAGTTGGAGTTGGAAGAGCGCACGGTGGACGTTGATGTTGGCAAACTGGCAGGGTCGGTGGGATGGTTTAGTAGGGATGGTGGTCAACCTCTGGTTCTTCCAGATGAGGCGCTTTCTTCGTGGCATACACACATACCCGTGTCTCTCTTTTCTTGTTTGAAGCAAGAGAAGGAATCCACGGGTACACCGAAAACTTCCTGTCTCTTGAGTAGCCTCAAACTGAATCAGCCAACTGGTTGTTTCCCCAAGAAGATCAACGGCTTCCCAAAATCCTCGCCCCTCTCAGAGCATTTCGCTCTGAATCCCCGAGAAGTGGACCTTGATTTGGGGAATGAAGCTAGGAATTGCTTCGAAGGGTCAGGGATGGGATGCAACATGCCAACACGATCTCCAGAACGCGACAGATTCAGAAGAAAAGAAGAGGAGAACCAGGTGGAAAACAGGTGAAAAGCTCCAAATGTTGCCCTTCAAGAAGCAGGTATTCGGGGGAGAGGTTACTAAAACCCCCCAACCAATCCGAGCCAGCCCGCTCCCAGTCCCCTCCCAATTCGCAGCCAGGCCGCATTCATTGACCGGCCTGCGCGGTTGGGTTTTTTTCGCCGCCACTTCGACGACGTAAGCGTCGACTCCGTTTCTAAGCAGCTGCCGTTGTTCCCCTGCCACAAGTCTGTGGCCGTCCGATGGCAGACTTGCTCTCTGGCTAGGTTCTGTTGGCTTCTTCCGGCACCACTTTTGGGTAACCTAACCTACTCTGAGCCGAGGGTCGCGCAAATGGCATCAAAGCCCACACAGCAAACACCAAGGCCCACACAGCAAGCACTACAATATGTGTATATATATATATATTATACATATATATATATATATATGTATATGTATATATTTATATGTATCTATACAAATATAAGTTGGAACATCCTTTAGATGGCAACAAGAGTCACTGCATTGTCGTTGATCCTTCCAAAAAGGGAAATATGAACTTCACCCTCGCTTGGGTTCCTTTGCCCAAACAAAACCAAACAGTTCCCTTGGAGGCTGTTGGAAATGGAGTTGGCATGTGGAAACCATGCGAAAGCAGGTCATGTCAGACACAAAGCCAACAGCAATCCAAGCACCCACGTTCTTCCAAAGATTTCCACAAACCAGCTGCGCCCCCGTCATGACAGAGTAAGAGAAGATTCTTCCCAAGCTCTGTCCCCTTGAAAACTCAAAACGAAAAGATGTAGAAGATTGCTCTCTCTCTCTCTCTCTCTCTCTCTTCGTCTGCTGTTCTGGGGTCAAACCCACGTGCCCCGTGCCCCAAATTGTGCTGAAATACGCAAGCATTCTATCAGGAGTTGTCCAAGGGTTGCACAACAGCCTCGCGTGTAGCATACACAACAAGCCAACGGTTCAACAAGGTCAAAGCAGGTGTGCATCACGCCGATCCAGGCCGACAAACATTGCCCCCGGCGCTGCGGCGCTGGTCCCAGTATTCAGCAATGGAGAGCTGCGGCATATGATGCTACGAACGTCTTCCACCTTTCGCTCTTCAGCTATGTGAGAGAAGGTACTTCCAGGAGGACTCCTCGTTGAGCAGGGGCCCGCGCAGCTTTTTCTTCCCCAAACACCCGAGGAAACTCGCAAATCCAAGGGGCAATCAAAAGGTGATAGAAATCGACAGCAAGGAGATGATGGCCGTGGGTCCAAAATCGCACAACCCCCAAATGGCTTGCCCTGGCAAGTGGAAAGGACGAAAAACACCCTGCGGCCCAATTCCAGTGGTGTAATGCCCGAAACAAAATTTCGGGAGCACCCAAGAAAGATACAACTTTTTCTTCAGCCCAGGCCAGGTTAGGCTTTCGAGGTGGGGATTTCGAGGTGCGGGAATGCTGTGGATGGAACAGCGTAATCCAGAAATCGCACCACCTATGAAACCATGGGAAAACTTTGAAACCATAGCTTGTTTGTTGGGATTTGCAGGGGAATCAGCAGACACCAGGGTTTCTGAACGGTGGTGCGATTTCTGGATTTCGTCCATCCACGGTATGTCATAGGTGTAAACAAGGTAATGGTGCCGTATATTAAAATGGGGGGTCCCCATATTTGTAAAAAAGGGTTTCATGATGCGTGGTCAACATTAGTGTCTTTGAAGGACGACCATTGAGAGATGAGGGTTATCTGTTGACCTATGATGGATCCCTTTCGACTTCATCCATTGGGATGCTGACACCGGCGGTGACAACTCCATTGCTATTCAATTGCCGTTCCAACACCTCAAACCTTCCAACTGCGAAGACTTACTTAGATGGTCTTGGACTTGGCCAAATGGTGAGTACCCCTGACTATAGGGGACTCACAACCATGCCTTTGGCAAGTTACAACCGGGTTTACTCCCAGACCATCCAAGTAGTCCCCACATGACCATGCAACCCAACACGGTCGAGTCCTTCCCCCCAAAATTCTCTGGATCTCAAAGAAGGTGGTGGGTGCCATGTCCATCTGACAAAACCACCAAAGCATGATCCAATTCAAAGGCTAGGGCTGCATCCCAAAGGCTATAGACATGTCGGGAGGTCTGTCAAAGAAGGGAAGAAGCGCGCTTTTTGAGAGTTAGGTCATTTAGCCCTTACAAGAACAAGGGGCCAGGCAGCTAAGCAATTGGCAGATGCCTAAGCTGCGAAACATTCAGCGACTCACATTCACCACGTCCGGGAGTGAGATGGAACCCAAACAAAAAATGAGTGTTTCCCTTTTGGACGCCCCTTAAAACACCGCAAACTGACCAAGAAGCGCCCCCAGAACCAATGGCAATTAGCGGCCCGAACAACTCCGTTTCTGGGGCCCCAACTTGGAGCCAAGCTGCCTCCCGAAACGCCACGTCGTACGCAAACCCCGACGCCCGGCGGCAAAAAGCACGAGGATGGGCTCAGCTCTCATTCCCAAGAGGCTGGGAACCAATCGAGGTCCGCTGGAGAGGTTAGAATAAGTTGGCGCCAAGGAGCCGAAGTGCAAGACCCAACAATTTGTGTTCCGGGGACAAAAAAGGTGAACCACCAATCCAACTGTTTTCCTTTCGCCCTGGAGGTGTTTGGACAAAAAAGGTGAACCACCAATCCAACTGTTTTCCTTTCGCCCTGGAGGTCTTTGGACAAAAAAGGTGAACCACCAATCCAACTGTTTTCCTTTCGCCCTGGAGGTGTTTGGACAAAAAAGGTGAACCACCAATCCAACTGTTTTCCTTTCGCCCTGGAGGTGTTTGGACAAAAAAGGTGAACAAAAAAGGTGAACCACCAATCCAACTGTTTTCCTTTCGCCCTGGAGGTGTTTGGACAAAAAAGGTGAACCACCAATCCAACTGTTTTCCTTTCGCCCTGGAGGTGTTTGGACAAAAAAGGTGAACCACCAATCCAACTGTTTTCCTTTCGCCCTGGAGGTGTTTGGACAAAAAAGGTGAACCACCAATCCAACTGTTTTCCTTTCGCCCTGGAGGTGTTTGGACAAAAAAGGTGAACCACCAATCCAACTGTTTTCCTTTCGCCCTGGAGGTGTTTGGACAAAAAAGGTGAACCACCAATCCAACTGTTTTCCTTTCGCCCTGGAGGTGTTTGGACAAAAAGGTGAACCACCAATCCAACTGTTTTCCTTTCGCCCTGGAGGTGTTTGGACAAAAAAGGTGAACCACCAATCCCACTGTTTTCCTTTCGCCCTGCAAAAAAGGTGAACCGCCACCAATCCAACTGTTTTCCTTTCGCCCTGGAGGTGTTTGGCCCTGGAGGTGTTTGGACAAAAAAGGTGAACCACCAATCCAACTGTTTTCCTTTCGCCCTGGAGGTGTTTGGACAAAAAAGGTGAACCACCAATCCAACTGTTTTCCTTTCGCCCTGGAGGTGTTTGGACAAAAAAGGTGAACCACCAATCCAACTGTTTTCCTTTCGCCCTGGAGGTCTTTGGACAAAAAAGGTGAACCACCAATCCAACTGTTTTCCTTTCGCCCTGGAGGTGTTTGGACAAAAAAAGTGAACCGCCAATCCAACTGTTTTCCTTTCGCCCTGGAGGTGTTTGGACAAAAAAGGTGAACCACCAATCCAACTGTTTTCCTTTCGCCCTGGAGGTGTTTGGACAAAAAAGGTGAACCACCAATCCAACTGTTTTCCTTTCGCCCTGGAGGTGTTTGGACAAAAAAGGTGAACCGCCAATCCAACTGTTTTCCTTTCGCCCTGGAGGTGTTTGGACAAAAAAGGTGAACCGCCAATCCAACTGTTTTCCTTTCGCCCTGGAGGTGTTTGGACAAAAAAGGTGACCAACCACCAATCCAACTGTTTTCCTTTGGCCCTGGAGGTGTTTGGACAAAAAAGGTGAACCACCAATCCAACTGTTTTCCTTTCGCCCTGGAGGTGTTTGGGACAAAAAAGGTGAACCGCCAATCCAACTGTTTTCCTTTCGCCCTGGAGGTGTTTGGACAAAAAAGGTGAACCACCAATCCAACTGTTTTCCTTTCGCCCTTGTTTGGACAAAAAAGGTGAACCACCAATCCAACTGAGGTGTTTGGACAAAAAAGGTGAACCACCAATCCAACTGTTTTCCTTTCGCCCTGGAGGTGTTTGGACAAAAAAGGTGAACCACCAATGCAACTGTTTTCCTTTCGCCCTGGAGGTGTTTGGACAAAAAAGGTGACCAACCACCAATCCAATTGTTTTCCTTTCGCCCTGGAGGTGTTTGGACAAAAAAGGTGAACCACCAATCCAACTGTTTTCCTTTCGCCCTGGAGGTGTTTGGACAAAAAAGGTGAACCACCAATCCCACTGTTTTCCTTTCGCCCTGGAGGTGTTTGGACAAAAAAGGTGAACCGCCAATCCAACCGCCAATCCAACTGTTTTCCTTTCGCCCTCTTTGAGACAAAAAGGTTGAACCTGGGAGGTGTTTGGACAAAAAAGGTGAACCACCAATCCAATGTTTTCCTTTTCGCCCTGGAGGTTTTTGGACAAAAAAGGTGACCAACCACCAATCCAACTGTTTTCCTTTCGCCCTGGAGGTCTTTGGACAAAAAAGGTGCAACCACCAATCCAACTGTTTTCCTTTCGCCCTGGAGGTGTGTTGTCCTTTCGCCCTGGAGGTGTTTGGACAAAAAAGGTGAACCACCAATCCAACTGTTTTCCTTTCGCCCTGGAGGTTGTTTGGACAAAAAAGGTGAACCACCAATCCAACTGTTTTCCTTTCGCCCTGGGGGTGTTTGGACAAAAAAGGTGAACCACCAATCCAACTGTTTTCCTTTCGCCCTGGAGGTGTTTGGACAAAAAAGGTGAACCACCAATCCAACTGTTTTCCTTTCGCCCTGGAGGTGTTTGGACAAAAAAGGTGAACCACCAATCCAACTGTTTTCCTTTCGCCCTTTGGACAAAAAAGGTGAACCACCAATCCAACTGTTTTCCTTTCGCCCTGGAGGTGTTTGGACAAAAAAGGTGACCAACCACCAATCCAACTGTTTTCCTTTCGCCCTGGAGGTGTTTGGACAAAAAGGGTGCACCACCAATCCAACTGTTTTCCTTTCGCCCTGGAGGTGTTTGGACAAAAAAGGTGAACCACCAATCCAACTGTTTTCCTTTCGCCCTGGAGGTGTTTAGACAAAAAAGGTGAACCACCAATCCAACTGTTTTGGACAACAAAGGTGAACCACCAATCCAACTGTTTTCCTTTCGCCCTGGAGGTGTTTGGACAAAAAAGGTGAACCACCAATCCAACTGTTTTCCTTTCGCCCTGGAGGTGTTTGGACAAAAAAGGTGAACCACCAATCCAACTGTTGTTCCTTTCGCCCCTGGAGGTGTTTGGACAAAAAAGGTGAACCACCAATCCAACTGTTTTTTCGCCCTGGAGGTGTTTGGACAAAAAAGGTGAACCACCAATCCAACTGTTTTCCTTTCGCCCTGGAGGTGTTTGGACAAAAAAGGTGAACCACCAATCCAACTGTTTTCCTTTCGCCCTGGAGGTCTTTGGACAAAAAAGGTGAACCACCAATCCAACTGTTTTCCTTTCGCCCTGGAGGTGTTTGGACAAAAAAGGTGAACCACCAATCCAACTGTTTTCCTTTCGCCCTGGAGGTGTTTGGACAAAAAAGGTGAACCACCAATCCAACTGTTTTCCTTTCGCCCTGGAGGTGTTTGGACAAAAAAGGTGAACCACCAATCCAACTGTTTTCCTTTCGCCCTGGAGGTTTTGGACAAAAAAGGTGACCAACCGCCAATCCAACTGTTTTCCTTTCGCCCTGGAGGTGTTTGGACAAAAAAGGTGAACCACCAATCCAATTGTTTTCCTTTCGCCCTGGAGGTGTTTGGACAAAAAAGGTGAACCACCAATCCAACTGTTTTCCTTTCGCCCTGGAGGTGTTTGGACAAAAAAGGTGAAACACCAATCCAACTGTTTTCCTTTCGCCCTGGAGGTGTTTGGACAAAAAAGGTGAACCACCAATCCAACTGTTTTCCTTTCGCCCTGGAGGTGTTTGGACAAAAAAGGTGACCAACCACCAATCCAACTGTTTTCCTTTCGCCCTGGAGGTGTTTGGACAAAAAAGGTGAACCACCAATCCAACTGTTTTCCTTTCGCCCTGGAGGTGTTTGGACAAAAAAGGTGAACCACCAATCCAACTGTTTTCCTTTCGCCCTGGAGGTGTTTGGACAAAAAAGGTGAACCACCAATCCAACTGTTTTCAAAAAGGTGAACCACCAATCCAACTGTTTTCCTTTCGCCCTGGAGGTGTTTGGACAAAAAAGGTGAACCACCAATCCAACTGTTTTCCTTTCGCCCTGGAGGTGTTTGGACAAAAAAGGTGAACCACCAATCCAACTGTTTTCCTTTCGCCCTGGAGGTGTTTGGACAAAAAAGGTGACCAACCACCAATCCAACTGTTTTCCTTTCGCCCTGGAGGTGTTTGGACAAAAAAGGTGAACCACCAATCCAACTGTTTTCCTTTCGCCCTGGAGGTGTTTGGACAAAAAAGGTGACCAACCACCAATCCAACTGTTTTCCGTTCGCCCTGGATGTTTTTGTTTCCTCGGGTTTCCTTTTGCTCACGCGGATTATTTTTCTCCTAACCCTTTTGCTCAGATCCAACATGAGGTGCCATGTTCGGCAGGTGCTTATGCCATTCAAACTTGGATCTTGGGTGCACACAAAATCATGTTTCCTGACTCTGTCCCATATTCAGACTCTACAAAAAGGAATGGAAAAGAACCCCAGCAAAGGTCACTTGGGTTCATTCAAACAAAATGGAGGTCCTGGTTAGGTGGATCGAAGAGCTCCGGCTGCATACTGACAAAATCCGTCACCAGTTGGATAAAACCTCGAGGCAAAAAACAACATATCCCAACTGCGAAGTGGCTTGTGTCCACTCACAGTATTAAGACAGGGAGAATATCAGTTGGGACCCAAACTGCTTGAAATGGATAAAACCCAGAAAAACCTATGTGAGGAAACGGCAGAATGATGCTGGCAACCGGTAAAGTACCAGAATTCACCAACTGGAATGGAGATATGAGAGGCGCATATGTAGAGAGCCTGGAAACATAATGTCGATAAGAGCCTAGTCTATGCAGACGGTGAGAAGCCTGCTCGTAGGAAGCACAGGTTCATCCTCAACCGGGCTCTCCTATTGGCCGAGAAGCAAATCAGGACGGAAGTGAGGTTCCAACTCTGAAAACTAATTCATTGCCATATTCAAATCTCTGCTGGCGTCGCCATTTTAGAGGGCAAAGATGTAAGATGATACAACATGTCAGGCGTTTGGGCCCACAAGAAAAGATGGAAAAAAGGGCATGCAAGAGGCAATGTGGTTGCTCGCTTCTCTCATCGCCAAGTGGGACTTTCCCGAAACACACAGAACCAAAGGTCTCGATTTTCCCACAAAGAGACTCTTAGAACCTTGTTAGAAGGGTTTGTCAAAGGGTTCGTAGAACAACTCTTTCCCCCCAGCCTGGTTTTGCGAACGAACCCCTCCTTAATCACGATGGCTGGCATGAGTTGAACCCACCCTGCCGTGCCTCTCTTGGAATGCCATTTGCGCAAGATTGGCGAGAAAAGCTTGGCGAGAAGCTTGCAGATCTTGTTTGCTGTTTGCCCTGTGTCTTGTTCATCTTGCTTGTCTGATTTGTCTTGTTTGCTAACCCGTGGTTGCTTCCCTGCTTAATTGCTTGCTTGCTTGCTTGCTTGCTTGCTTGCTTGCTTGCTTGCTTGCTTGCTTGCTTGCTTGCTTGCTTGCTTGCTTGCTTGCTTGCTTGCTTGCTTGCTTGCTTGCTTGCTTGCTTGCTTGCTTGCTTGCTTGCTTGCTTGCTTGCTTGCTTGCTTGCTTGCTTGCTTGCTATGTAGCAATTACTGTTGTTGTATGTTTAAAGAAGAAAACACACATCCACGTGTTACTCCCCAAATCCCTTGATCTCGACCATCAGGCCCTTCGGCTTGGATACTTTCTCGAGCCCTGTATTGCACGGGTGTCTTTTTTGCCTGAGCTCACCCTGAATGAAATCTTCGGACTGGTTTCGAGGGGCAAGGAAACCCCACTGAGTTGAGGATTTCAAGCCGAATCTGCCGATTTGAGAGCATGGGGAAGTTGTTCTGGCAACTCTGGCTCGGGCTCAGGCTTAGGGCTTAAAACCATTTTTGGCCTTGGTTGTGCCCTACTTTTTGGAGCCCTCTATGGTTCTCTGTCTTTCAAAAAATCTGCGCCCGTGGAAAACCTGGCAGCTCCGATTGAGAAACTCGCCAACAGCCCAGGACCCATCGGTTCCATTAGCGTCGAGTTCGCTGGAAGCTGCGCAAAATGCGACCCCCCCTCCCGCTTGGTTGGTATTCAAAGGGACACACAAAGGAAATCAACTTGCCATTCTACGAAAAGTTCGCCAACTTAGATTGAGAAACACGATTTCATGAGCCCCTTATTTTACTATGGGAGTGTTGTTGTTTCAAAAACGGGAAAGCCCGGGTTGTTGCAAGCCAGCCCCCTGCACCTGGTGGATGTCCCCCGCCTCTTCTTTTTGTTTTCCGCAAGCGGCGCTAGCGGGGTCTCCGGTGGCCTTTGACCACCGAGGTGAAACCGTCCTCGTCCACCGTGGGCTCGATGACCTGCTTGTACCCCGCCGCCGGCCTCGGGGAGTCGGTCTTCGACGTCTCGGAGCTGGGTAAATCGATGCCGGGTACGCTTGCCCGGTCTCGGTGCCAGAAAAAGTCGATCCCTGGGTCCGCTTGTGGATTCGATGGCCTCTCCTGAGGTCGATGGCCTCTCCTGAGGCATTTGAACTATACGAGTCGGTTCACCCTCTCCAAAAGGAGAAAGCCCCCAACCAATCGAACAGAAACTTCAAGAAAAAGAAAGGACCGTGTCCCCAAACACAACACCCCCCTTGGCACAGTAGGATCGGTGTGGTTGGGAGGGTGCTGGGGGGTGGTAGGAGCAGTATAAGAAAAAGGAACGGGACGGAGTTGGATCTGGGATCTGGACAAAGCAGAAAAAACGGGCCAAAGTAGGGAAACATCATGAGAACTCTTTCTTCCCAACCTCATCATCTCTGGGTAAGCCCACCCCGCGCCAAACAGGTCTGCTATGTACAGGCAAACATCTTCACTCATCAGGCAGAAATGAATAAGCCCGGAGTGGCCTGTCTCATTTGCGATATGCTCCTATTGAGGCCACCTACTCGAGTGATCAATGTTGTTTGGTGTATCGGTGGAGCGAAACAAAAAAAAAACAGCGGGCGGCCTGTTTGGCGGGAGGAGAACAACTCTGGCAGTTGGTGAAGGGCTTTTTGCATGGTACTGCGGCTTTAATCGCCTAGGTTGGTTTCCACGTCAATACCGGTGAATGCGCCATCAAAAGCTCCAGGAGTTAACTTAATACAAGCATAGGTGGCCTTTTGGAAAATAGATGGCCCTGGTAAATGGAATAGACCCCATCTAAACCAGGGCCCTCTATGTTTTAAGCAAACCAACCAACAAGGACACCTATGAATACAAGCTTCTGCAGCGCGGCCGCACCTCAATCAGGGTCCTTTCCTTCGGGCGACCTGGTGAGAACGTGCGCAGGGCTTTCATGCCACACAGCCTGCCTCTTCTTGGGAGGCAGCCTGTTTGCGGCAACAACCTCTTAGGCCTTACTAAGGGGAAAAACAACTTGTTGAGGGATGCGGTTCCTGGGATTCCTGATGGATTCCTCGCCTTCCTTTTAGTGCAGCCACTTCCGAGATACCCCATTCCCGGCTAGAATCGCTAAACAGGGATACCCCCCCGTTAACCACAAAAGCATTAAGACAATGGTTCGCTCTCGCGGTACCATCGAATTCCGAAAATGGGGGAACCCCGAAAAAAAAATCCGGCCCCGGCTCCGGCTTTTCTCCTTCGGTTCACGTTTGCAAAACTCAAAACCCAAGACAAAGATCACCACTGGCTCACAGTGCTGAGGGCAGAGCGGAGATGCCGCCGGAGCCGCCTCAAAGGAGTCTCGCAGGTCGGCGGTTCCCGGGTCCGTCTTGGGGCTGGTGGAAAAACGGGGATTTTCCGCCAAATGGAGCCGCCGCTCTTTTTGCATACACCGATATTTCGGATGATTGAAGAGGGTCACACAAAACACCCAGGTGTCGACCTTCGACTGACCCAAGGTAAAGTCTAACAGGGATCCGGATGCATTATACACCTGAACATTGCCTTGTGAATGGTGGTCTCCCTTTATTTTGGTGGAAAAAGCAACATGTCTCAACTGGTTGGGAGCCCCGTCTAAGCTCAGACTGAGCCCTGGTAGTCAAAAAGAAAAACGGGCCCTTTCGGAGCAAGTTGACGCGAAAGGAGCACCTGACCCGTCATGGCTCGCGTTGAGCAACCCCCTTTTGTTTTGTTTTCGGGAGCAGAAGAAGATAACATGAGCTAGCGTTGACGGGAAGAGGGTCACCCAAATCCCATGTCAGCTTTGGGACACTATGAAGAGAACCTATTGATTGAAATGACACCAACCACTGGGGTCGACCTTCAAATGCCCACCGAGCTTCTCTGACACCTTCTTTTCGAATGAAGCACCAGTTATGGCACTGCTGACCCGGGATTAATGCACCTCTAGTTGATGGGGGGCCTGCGCCACATTTTTGAAGAACCTGGGTCCTCCATGGATCCACCGCGTTTCAGCATTCCACCAGGTTTTGGCATGGGTTTCAACAAACGCAAGCTCGTTAGCGGCCTTTTCACGTGAACTCGCGGGGGCTCCCACTCAGCGCCAAAATGGCTCCAGAGTGCAACTCAATGTCTGCACATGTTTCAAGGGGCACCCAAACATTTGTCCATGTACTTGCCGATTCTTGTCGTGGTTGAAGCGTGGGTTCTATCCGCACGTGGGGTGTGTTTCAGATGTCCATAGTCCAAAAAAGACGACCGCGCGTGAAGTGTGGGGTTCGAGTCTGTGGCAACCCTCATGAGCGTGGATGGTTAAACTATTCTGTCTAAAGAAGCTGCTTTGGGTTTCAGTTCAAAGACCAGGGGTTGGCTCAACATCGGTACCAGCATCATCCGCATTCCCAGCACGCGGCATAGTCAACATCGGCAGCATCAGCAGCATCCCCAGCATTCCCAGGCAAAGCCCAATCAATCTGATTGATTTCAGATTCTGTTTCACCTTTTAATCAATCAACCCTACGTACAACAAACATCCTTGCATTATGCACCTGAACATTGCCTTTCCTTTATTTTGGTGGGAAAAGCCATGTTTCAAATGAGCAAGATGTATCTTTTAAGGAGCCCTGTACAACAAAACAGAGCCTGAGACACCCCGGTAAAGCGCCGGAAGACGGGGCGCGCCTCTGGCTGTGGCATCCCCTGCTCACCGTCGCTGTCACCCTCCTCACCCTGCACGCTCGCAACTCCGTCGCTCAATAGGGGTGCGTCTCTTGTAAGGGAACCCTGGAAATGACGGTTCTCCTTTCGGTTCCCCTCTAAAACCCCACCAAAAGGGGGTCCGAAAGAAAAGACACATTGCGATTGTACAACCCGACCATTTAGCTTGCTGGTTCCACAGAACCGACTTACGACCCCGCGAACCATCCCAATCTGGTGTCCTTAATTCGGTCATCCCCAAAACCGGTTCATTTCCAAAACCCGGACTCGGACTGCCCTATCGCACCGGCAAGTTAGGCAACAGACACCGAAACCCCGAAATTGCGGCCGCAAAAACTCGCGGAGTCTTGCGCTCGGATCTTTGGGTTTGAAGGTTCCAGGTCTTCAAAAAAGCAAGCAGCCCAAGGCGAGCTTGGAAGAAGCACCTACCCTATCTCACAGCACATAGTACCTATTGAGTGGCTAGTACCCCTCGTTTCCCAAGAAATCGGACTCATGACCGGCAATTGTTTGTGGGTCATTCGCAACCAGGGTTGCCCTACTTTGTCAAATGGGCTCCGTCGATTTGGTCAACTTCTTGGTTCGACCACAAGCATCGATCAGCCACTGTGAAAACCAGTTGACAATCTGTTGTGACTTGTGCGTCTTTGATTCCAGCACCGAAGCAACGTTTTGGTATGAGACTTTGCTCTACCCTCGAAAGTCTTTTCAGGGGACAAACCAAACTCTGTGAGTAAATGTTTTCCAAGTTTCCGAAAAAGCCACCCGAGGCGCAACAAAGGTTCGCAAGCATAATGCGTCTTCCAGGCAGAAACAAGCCTTTGCTGCGGAAAAACCTTGCGCACCAGCGAAAATCATAGAGGAATGTAATCTTTGGAAGGAACCTTTTTTTTGCCAGACAAATCGTGGGGTTCCGTAGGTTCGGCCATGAGCTTTTGTGCTTCGTTGAAAACTGTTGGGCGCGTGTCAGTGGCTTTGTAAGAAAGAAACCAGCAACCTCCGTGAAAGGTAGGTGCCCACTGACCCTGACGGTTGCTCCGGCCGAAGGTTGCGCGTTTTTAAGCGGACAGAATCACCCAGCAAAATTTGGCACGGTCACATGTTCTGAGCCAAGAAAAACTCTGAAAACCCCCTGGTTGGCCCAAAATGAAAGGAACCAAAATGGTTAACACTGGGATCAAAGGCAAATGTCAGGCAGAGATTCCCTGCAAGCCGCTCTGCATATACATATATATATATATATGTTTATATCTATATATACTTGGTCAATGTTCAACCAGACACCCAGAATTCAAATATCATCTGCTTTGAGTCCGGGCCAAGAATGTCTCAGACATTACCCGAACGTTAACCCAAAGAGTTGGGTAGAAGTCCATGTCGAATTCAATGTCCAAGCCCATGTGGGTGGATGTCGATCCCCTTCACTCACACCTAGTTGCTGGGAGCAATGGAACTTCAGGCACGCAAGTTGGGGGCTGGCTGCTACCAGCAGCTATTTCATGTATACTATAAATATGTATACTTATATAATATATATATATATATATATATATACCATATATGTGTATATGTATATTTTGTATTGTTTATTCCATATGCGTATAATATGTATATATATATATATATATATATATATATATATATGTAACACTATACATATCATGTAGCAATATGCAACTGCCTGCAAACCTGAGACTTGAGACTGCCAGTGGGGACCCGCCGTCGAGCGCCTCGTCGATGTCCATACCGTCGAGCTTGTCCAACAGCTCGTCCTCCTCCGTGGCGTATTCGATGCCTGAGAACGCGCGCGCGGCGCGAAGCGAGTTCAAGGAGCTGGAGTCCAAGCGCGGGGGTTTTGCAAGGAACCCTAAGGCTCCCCAAGCAAGACCCTAGGGGGCCCTAAGCAACCCCGAGTAATTGCAAGCAACCTTAAGGAACCAACCAGCCCTAAGGAACCCCAAGAAATTTCAAGGATTTTTTTGAAGGGAACCCTAAGCAACCCCAGACGTATCCATCCCCCTTGTACCTCAGGGATTCAAGTTGCTTCCGTCGGGCAAAAAATGTGTGGGCAGTCTTCTTGGTCTCCCTTCAACGCCAAACCAAACAAATTACCTTAAACAAATACGTGAAATGAAGTGGAATGTCTGACTCGTGCGAAAAAGGGAGGTTGAATCAAAGGAGCTGTGACACTCATGCCCCTGCTTTTCCACGTGCGCGCGCGTGTTAGGAACGTGCGGGCAAGTTCCAACCAAGGTCCCAAGCCTTCGAAGTGATTCCAGGCAGATCTGGGAAAACTGAGGTGGGTGGTCTGCTTTAGGGTAACCATTTCTGGGCTGTCCAAACCGATCCCCCACTAAAAGTCTAACTTTTGGTGGGTTAAATGGACACCCCACTAAACACTAGAAGGCTAAAAAGCTAAGGAACCGGATGGCTGGCTTCGCCACCAAGATTTCGGGTTGGCGTTAAAGGAACAACAAACAAAACAGCTTTTGGCCCACCTTGGGGGGGGTCGAAAAAAATGAATGTTACCCCCTGCTTTGCACGCCAAACACACCCTCAGGGTGAAGACCACTTTGGATGCTTAGCCTCCCAATGAAATCTGACAGGGCACATTTGTCTGAGCCCAAATTGGCTCTTCATAAGCTCTTAATAAGGCCATATTTGTGGCCTGTGCGGATCCTTCCCCCCTCGCTTGCCCAGACCCCGGACCAATACTTTTTTGGACAAGAGGCCTCAAAAGCACGCAAATTGTCTCGCTCGCACCAAGGCGAATCGACTTGATGCGACCCACATTTGCTTTATGTTTAGTCAGCGTTTTCAAAGGTGAACCTGCTATTTCCAGGTCGTTGGCGGAAGTGAGTCGTAAGGGCCCCTTCTTGAGCCAATTGAGTTTTGCTGCTGACCCAACAGGACGTGTTTTGGGGTCTAACCACCGGCGCGGGGTCTGCGAAAACGAAGAGGTGTTGCCTATTGGGCGCCGTCGTGTCAATGCCATAGGCGGCCTTTTGGTGGGCTTCCCTGGTAAAAGGAAGAAACGCCATCTAAACCAGGGCCGTCTGTCTTTAATCCAACTAACCTACAAAGGACACCTATGTGGTTAGAATAAGGGTACCAACCAAAAAAGGGGCCCTGGTTTAAAAGGTAAGCCTGGTATTTTATAAGCAAACCAACCTACAAAGGACCCCTATCAAGCCAATGCTGTTCTCGCCTGCGTGTGCCGGCAAGCCGAGGATCTGGCCATTCAGACAATGGGAGTTACATGTGTTCTGTCTTTACGGAAGCCAACAGGATAACCACCGGTTTCCGGGCCCCGCCAAAAAAATAAACACCCATTTACAAAATCTCATTAAAATTAGGTAAATACTGATGTTACTGGGGGCTATGCCCGGCGCCTCTTCAAGCCACGGGGGGTTATGTATCATGTCAACATGCTCCGAAAGTGTAAGGGAGTGCTGGAACGCGCAACAAATCTAACCTCGACAAATACACGGTTTGGGGCGGCTGGGCATAGTTTTGAGGTGGGCTGAAATGAGAAGCTGTGCGTTTGCGTTCGCGGATCCAATTTGGGTTTGAAAGGGAAACCAAAAGGAAACCAACCACTTTGAGGGTGCCACATAGATTGACTCAGATGCCCAGTGGCCAGGGGGAAAAAATAAAAGGGGAAGCCGTCCTTTTTTGGTTCATTTAAAGGGAACCCTTCCCAAACAAAGTTGAAAAATGGAAGCAACCCACCGGGCAACCGAATTGAAGTTCAGCGAAGTCGAGACTCCAATTCCCTTCTCTCTGCAAAAGAGCTGCGCTCACTGCCCTGGCTCTGCGCGAGGTCCTGCTTCCCGACAGTGGCCTACAAGCTCTTCGGCCATGGCTGCTCCATTTTGGGGTGGATAAACATCCATTCGCCACCAATTTTGATGTTCACCAGGGGTACAGGGATTTTTGACCCACAGCCATATCATTGACTTACAGTTCTTCTCAGTTGCTTCTCTTGTTTGCCAATCGGCTTACTTGTTGAAAAACAGGGAAACATGATCATCAACCTATGGCCGGCGTGATGTGCTTCTTTTGTTTGTGGAGGGTGGTTGGTCAAGCGCCTTGCTTGTTGAATTGCGGCTTGGCTGTGCATCTATGGCATACTTGCTGTTCTTTTTCTTCTAGATCACGGGGTGCGTGTGCCTCCTTGTAGGGCATCGCTCCAAGATTGCGCAACGGCTCTATGGCCTGCTTGGTTTGCTTTGGCCCTGAGGGGTCTCCCGCTTTGTTCTACCCGCGCAAAGGGAAGCGCTCTCTTGTTGCCCAAAGCGGCCACCTGAAAGACATAGCCAGAACCTCCGAGGGAAAAAAGAAGTTGCTTCAAGGTGTAAACCCAACAAGGGAAAAACCAGGGAGAAGAAATATCTAGGAAACACTTGGGGTAAAAAGCCGGTTTCACCCATGGGAATGGGTTAAAATCAAACCACCAGGGGATCGCAAATTCTAGTCCATGTTTCCACGTACCAGGGTTCCATTTTGGGTACCTATGTTTTGACCCACGGCCACATTTGAAGTCTGTTTACTTCCAAGGGGACATAAGCAAATGGAGGCCCAAAAAAAAACGCCAAAAAGAAGGACTTCCATTTTGGACTTCCATACTCAAATCCACTTCCCCCAAAGAGAAAAAACGCGGCTTGCCCAACTTTTGACCACAGCCCCATCAGAATGACCCAAGAAGTGGAACCATCCGCCTGAAGCACCTGGTCCGCGAAGCTGGAGTCCCCCCTTTGGCAGGTATTGAAGAGCCGCAGGCCTAGCAATCCGAGACGTCACCCGAGGCGCAGCGTGGCCGTTTTTATTTGCTCCTGGCTGAAAAGCGAAATATATGCGTACAAGTACAAGTACATTTATGTATGCATGCATGCATGCATGTATGTATGTATGTATGTGTGTGTATGTGTGTGTGTATGTATGTATGTATGTATGTATGTATGTATGTATGTATGTATGTATGTATGTATGTATGTATGTATGTATGTATGTATGTATGTATGTATGTATGTATGTATGTATGTATGTATGTATGTATGTCCGCCGACAACAGTCGGCGTGTTGGACATAAAAATGCTCCTTACCTCTTTACCTGTTACCCCTCCCCTGACCCCTCCCCAGGGGCACAATTTCAGACCGGAGGAAAGGGAGAAGATCTGGTGGAAAAAAGGCCAACAGGGAAAGGGGGGAAAGATCCAAGGAAGGAAAAGGGAGAAGCTCTCAGGGGGGGAAAGGCCTTAGGCGGGAAAGGGTGGGAAGGATCTCAACAGGGAAAGGGGGAAACAATCTTAGGAAGGAAAAGGGAGAAGATCTGGAAAGGCCTTAAAGGGAAGAAGGGAAAGGATCTCAACGGGGAAAGGGGGCAAAGGATCTTAAGGAGGAATAGGGAGAAGATCTCAGCGGGGGGAAAGGCCTTAGGAAGGAAAGGAGGGAAAGGATCTCAACAGGGAAAGGGGGGGAAAGATCTCAGTGAGGAAAGGGAAAAGATCCCAGGCAGGGAAAATGCCTTAGGGGGGAAAGGGGGAAAGGATCTCAACAGGGAAAGGGGGCAAAGGATCTTCGGGAGGAAAAGGGAGAAGATCTGAAAAGGCCTTAGGGGGAAAAGGGGGAAAGGAGCTCAACAAAGAAAGGTGGGAGAAGATCCTGGAGGAAAAGGGAAAAGATCTTGGGGGGAAAGGGGGACAGGATCTCAACCAAGGGAAAAGATCTGGGGGAGGACAAGGGAGAAGATCTCAGGGGGGAAAGGCCTTAGGGGGGAAAGAGGGGAAAGGACCTCAACAGGGAAAGAGGGCAAAGGATCTTAGGGAGGAAAAGGGAGAAGATCTTGGGGGGGGAAAACGCCTTAGGGGGGGGAAAGGGCGGGAAAGGATCTCAACAAGGAAAGGGGGGAAAAGATCTTAGGAAGGAAAAGGGGGAAGATCGCGTTGGGAAAAAAGGCCTTAGGGGGGAAAGGAGGGAAAGGATCTCAACAGGGAGAGGGGGGAAAACATCGTAGGGAGGAAAAGGGGAAAACTCAGAGGGAGAAAGGGCCTTAGGGGGGAAAGGGGGAATGGATCTCAACAGGGAAAGGTGGCAAAAGATCTTAGGGAGGAAAAGGGAGAAGATCTCAGGGGGGGAAAGGCCTTAGGGGGGAAAGGGGGGAAAGGATCTGAGCAGGGAAAGGGGGGGAAAGATCTTAGGGAGGAAAGGGAGAAGATCTGGGGGCAAAGGCCTTAGGGGGGAAAGGGG